TGTATTGGTTTTATTTTTTATCAAATTTTATTATTACCATGTTGAGGGAATATTGTATGCTTGCGAAAAAAAAGCAAATAAAAATAATGAAAATAAGTTTATAGTGTGTAAATTTCTAAATTTTTTTACAATATTTGTTTATTGTATAATTTCAGATCATTTTATTTTAATGCAAAAATTTTGTAATTTCCTCATTTCAGATATATTTTTGCACTTTAACATGTTTCTCTGGAAAACAAAAAAAAATTAGGTTGTATATATATATATTCTAAATTGATCTGTCTTTCGATCCCCTGACTCTGATATTAGTATAAGTATGTTTTCAAATAAATATAAATTTCTGCTAATGCAATAAAATTGTAAATATTATTTTAATGATTGCAATAGTTTAAAAAATGAGAGAAAAAGGAAAGAAAGAGGAAGAGACAGAGAGAGAAAGAGAGAGAGAGAATGAGAGGGATAGGTCACTTGAGAATTGGGATTGGAACTGAAGTTGATTACAAAAAATCTAGACTTTCCTTTTTTTTTTTTGTTTTAATATTAAAACTCAAACCAAAAGGAATGGAAATACTGTCAGGAGATGTATGACTTTTCTTTTTCGTATCTTTCTTAATTGGTAATCTCTTTTTTTTTCTTTTGAATGCTTTTAAAAATGTAAAGAGTAAACATTATTTTTGGAAAAAGGCACACATATAAAAATAACATTTCTAAATTTTCGAACTATTTTTGAATTAATTACTTGAAACCTTTTTTTTTCGTTCATTGGTACATATATAAGAGAAATGTGGTTTCGTTTTTTTTTTCTTTTTTTTTAATGAAATTAACAATAAGAGGAGATTAGTGAGAATAAAAGGATGAAGGTTAATGAGGAAGAATGTGTGATTATATGTATTTAGTAGCGTAGAATATTTTAGAAGAATGGATAAATTTTTTAAATAATTTTTCAAATTTTTGAATGAAGTTTTTCAAATATTTTCACCAAATTATTCAGGTATTTCAATCTCTATTATTTATGATGTTTATTGTAATTTACATTTTATGTTAAATTTTTCACAGCGAATAATCATATTATATATTTATGTCTTGTTTAAATCAATTCATTTTCTACTTATTGTAAACTATTGGCAAAGCAAGAGATAAAATTATGTCGAATTTTGAAATCAAATGACATAATTTGCAATAACTTCCTGTGTATTTTTGTATGCTCATCTCTGTCGAGTATTCAATAATGAACTCAACTTGACCCACTTTCTGATGGGGTAAAAACAAGGTCATTGACTTCGTCTATCATTCAATCTTCCCATTTTCATCGTTCTCTTTTATCGCCATAAAGAAACGTAAAATCATCATCCAATTTTCATTCTATCCAGTAAAGATGCCACTTTTTGAATCAAATCACACATTGTTTTATTAT